CTCAGCCATTTCCCTGGTAACTATGACTGAAGGGGGGATCGGAAGGCCTCGGCTAACAGCTCTAGATTCGGTGGTTTTCATCGTTTGCCCGACTTGGTTGAAGAATGCTGGTGGATTCGTCCGTGTGAGTTTTGTGTCAATAGAATTTATGAGGGTGGTAAAATTTTGTCCATCTTGGGATGAATTTTCTCCCAACCAGCAAGAGCCACCCGAATAGACATGGGTCCTTAAACTGTCTTTGGTCGGTTCCAGACTGCCACGTCATCTTTTTTTGTTGGTTGTCGGATCACTTTAAGATTCACGTTGACACATCCTTTATGTATAATATATACATATATATATATATATGGCAGAAACCCAAATATCGATTTTCCATGCGTCAGGCCCCATGATGAGAGTCATCGTCATTTGCCTAAATATTCAAGAACTCAGCGCCAATGGGGATCAAACCCGTGACTTGAGGGGACTTACAGTGAAACCCACCAACCAACAAGCCACGGCTTGCTTGCGCGCGCACTGCGAGGGGCGAACCCTGTTTTCTCTAATTCACTGCATTTTCGTCTTCGTCTTCGTCTTCGTCGGTTGTTCGTCGTCGCGTCGCAGCAACTCCTTGTATCTCGTGATTCAGCGGCTCTCATGTGACGGCGTCGGGCTCGGGGGCAACATTTGAAGGACGTATGGGCGCGGGCTTCTTCTGCGGCTCTTTCTTTTGTCATCCCGAGAAGCACGGGCTCCTTCTACGGCTCGCGCTCTCGTCACCCTGAGAAGCGCGAGCTTCTTCTGCAGCTCCTGTCTTCGCACGCAGTACTGTGAAAGACGTCTGGGCGCGAGCTTTCCTATGGCTCGAATCGCCCACTGCTCGACCTCCCTATCGGCATTTGCTTTTTCTCTACTGTCACTTTGCTGTCCCACATCCCCACCTTCCTCTTTTAGGATGGCTTCGGACATATCGTATGCTGCTGCCCTTGCGGGCGTTCATGCCTCAGGTACACCTAAATCGCCATCTTTTCTTTTTTTTTATTTGAGTGGGTGGAGGACATCAAGAAGCCTGTTATGAAGAATAAGAAGTCTATCATTTTTTTTACAGAAGACGATGGTTATTCAACTTGCTTCCTCCTGTCGTCTGAATTTGGTTGGGAAATTTATGTATGGTCAACCCAAAATGGAGTTCATTCGCAAAAAAATTGAACTTATGCACCTTGTTGGAGAGTGAGAAATTGGATTATTAGATGCGAGACACGTTCTTCTTCAAATTAACAATGAAGAAGATTACATGCGCTTATTTGCTAGAATGATAATCTTGATAATCTGGATTGATAACAAGATTCTGAAATGGTCTGTGAATTTTGACCCACAAACGGGAAACGTCTCCCGAGAGCCGGATCCTCCAATCATTACGGTTTGGATTCACCTCCCTGGTATGAAATTTAATTATTCTTCTCAAAAGTATTGTATCATATTGCTTCAGCTTATGGAAAGTCACTCAGGACGGACATCCCTACTTTTAATATTTCTCGTTTATCTGAAGCCAAAGTACTTGTTGAAAGAGACATCACTTCACCCGCTTATGATGAAATCTGGTTAGGCACACAACACCATAAATATTGACAGAAGGTAGAGATTGAGCATTTTTCGTCGTATTGTTCAAACTGTCGTATGTTAAACTGTCGTATGTTCGACCACTCTATGTTTGGTCACTCTAGTTCTCAATGTCATCATTTACACCCCCACCTCAAACCAAAAAAGCAAAGTGTTCTGTCATCGCTAGAGTCTGTGATTCCATCTCATCCCGATCAGCACCAAATTTTTGACACTATTGATCATCAGAAGGATACCCCGTAAGACGTCAATATCCCAGTAGGCAATATGACATCCATTCATTCCCCAGTTGTAGCTCCCAAGTCTTTGGAATCTCCTATCGTGGAGGAGAGGAAGATTCTTCAGACTCCACCTGTCATAGAACATATCGCCGATAATATAGATAGAAATACTTCTACTGTTTCACTACCGCCTCATCAGGTCCAGAAAGATGTTAATGTTACTCAGGCTCGTGAGGATCATGATGTGCAACAACCTACATCTGTCCGACCACCTTTGGAATCTACTTATCATATGAGACAATCTTCGGATGAGGAATGTCAGGTCTACGAAAAAGAAGAAAAATGGAGATCTACTCGAGCTCAAAAATTTGATGGATGATACTTTGGTTACTATAGGCAATGATACTCACCTTATCAATTTGTTAACTGACTCACTTCCAAGAACTCGAGGCAGAAGGACTAAAATGGGATGTCCCTAACACTTTTGTGCCCTTTTTATGACTTTTTGATTTTTTATTTTTATGTATCTTTGCTTTATTTTGGTTTTGTGTGTGTTGTATTGTATAAGTTGAGTTTTCTTTTGGGTCTTCTCATACAACATTTCTGTATTTTTCCGTATTAATATATTTGCCCTTGGGTTTTTTCTGCTAGGGTTTCGCCATTATGGAGAAACTTGGTATCTCTTAGTCGATTTGCTCTTCGTCGTATCTCCTCTTCTCCGTCGTGCTTCGTCTGCGTCGTGCGGCGTCGACTTCTTCGCCGCGCAACCTCTGTCATGCTCAAAGAAGTAGAGGTGTCGTGCAGCGTCGTTTCTTCGCCGCGCGTCTGTCAGCTGCGCCTCCTCCCGGCTCGTTCGTTCGGCTCTTTCACGCTTGAAGGCTTCTGCGCTGTGCGACGTCGCTTCTTCCATTCTCAGTCGCGCCTCCTGCGGTCTCCTGCGACTCCGACTTCTGCGGTTTTGCACTCGTGTCTGTCCTGTAAACTACTCGCACTCCAGACTCAAGTAGCTTGCCTCTCTTCAACTCCCTTCCATGGATACTGCTCCTTCTCAACCACTGACTACTTCAGTTTTAAACCTTGGGAAAGCTTCTTTTGTTGATATGGTTGGCTCTATGGGATCAGCTCAAGTTTTTCCTTAAGTTTACCATGAATCATTCGAAGGCCAGGAGGATTGCAACCTTATGAAGAAGACGGGTAGGAAGAGTGACAAACTTGCTCTATTCTTCTCTGATGTTGAAGTTTTCAACCTGGTTAATAAGTTCAAATTCACCCTCATTAGGAAGTTCCAATCGGGACATCCCAAAATGGAAGTCGTTCGCAAGACTTTTGAAGAACTCAAACTACGAGACTTTGGAAAATTGGCCTCTTTGATGGGAGACATGTGATGATACAATTATCTAAAGTGGAATACTGTGCCAAAATATTTTCAAAAAGTTTATGACAATAGAGGGAAAATATATGAAACTACTTAAAGTGGTATCATGAATTTCACCATAGTCAAGAATCGCATATTGTTCCAATCTGGTTTAAACTACTTGGCCTAAAGTTGCACTACTTCAATCACCAAGTCCTTCACTCTATTAGAGCTGCACTAGGAAGACCTATGAAATTGGATGCACCCACCTTCAATCTAACCAGGGCCTTCGGTTGCAAGAATTCTTGTTGAAAGGGATATCACCCTCCCTGATGTGGACGAAATATGGTTTGGTACTGTCCACAATGGGTATTGACAACCAATTATAGCATAACAAAGGCGCTACTATTGCAATCACTGTAAATTGTTCGGGCACACCCCTGTCAAATGCTCCAGGTTTCACCCACATTTGAGATCGGCAGGTCCTAACACCTAACAACATCATCCATGTGGAGGAAAATATAGCAGACACTGTTAATCTTCCAGAAATGTTGAATGAGAATTTGACTCATAAGGCTACTCCTCACCAACCAGACCAGCATCTCCCGCCTACTGTTGTTGAGGCAACTCTTCCTCATATTACAAATTCTACGAATTTTGTTGTAGCAGATGCTAGCTGAAGTGTCTTGAAACAACCTACTGCGAGAGAAGAGGGTACTCAAGTTATGAAGGAGAGTCAGAAACAAGGTGTGTTGTAGGCTGAGTCAGATCAGCAGTTTACCTCCATTGAAGATTCACCTATTGTTCGCACAGAACTACCTCTAACAGATGATTGATAGGTTTACAAATCTAGGAAGAAGAAGAAAGGAATGTCAGATCTCAAGATGACTGTATGATTGTTTCGGGCGGAAGCCCACATCTCAGTATGTTGTTGGACTCCCTCCCTAGATCTAGGGGAAGGGGAAGGGGAAGCAGTATGTCCACCGACTGCACCCACCATGATTAGGAGTTGTTTCTTTTTGTTTTATTTTTGGGGAATACGTTTGTAATCCCTGTGAGTGGGCTCTTTGTACCCACTCACTATTTGTATCATCTCTTTTTTATCAATAAATTTTTCCTTTTACAATATATATATATATACGGGCGCACGCACGCGTTAAAGGTTTTTCAGATAAAAAAAATGGATAGAAAAGTAGGGAGACCATTTAATTGAAAGCAAAACATCTTCCTATTAGGAAGAAAATTTTGAAGTTCTGCAAAGCATTTACGGAACGTTTCGTAAGATAAACTGGTTCATGTTTCTAGATTCTCAGTTTTCATATCACTTCAACAACTTTCGAGTTAAACTAACACAATGTGCACGATTTCAAGGCATTTTAGTCATATAATATTTAGGTTTTGCATATATTTCATATCTTTAAATTTCTTCATATAATATGTTTTCTACTACTCTCCAGATAAACTAATGATAATATTTTGAGTTTTAGGGAAAAACAAGTGTCAAAGTTAAGATGAATCTGCGAAACATGTGCAATAAAAAAAGGGCATTTACACACATAGCACATAATTATTATGTACTTAAATATCTCACTCCTAAACTTTCATATTTATACACTCAGATCTCAAATCTTTAATATCACATCAAAAATAGCCCTATTACCACTTTTAAAAAGTGAAATATACCTTTTTATGCATGGGTTTAAAGTATAAAAGTATCATGCCTCTCAATATGAAAGTTTGGCTGTGAGATATGCAAATACATAAGAACTGTGTGCTGCGTGTGTAAATTTTCCTAAAAAATGTGCTTCCATTATACATCAGCTTACTCTAAGGCACGAGCTGTTCCGAGAGCAATTCTAACTCGAGTGTCCCAAGTCAATGGATTGCAGTAATCATCCGATAAATGTAAATAATCATGAAGGGAGCCATTTCTTTCATAATCATACACCAGGAGATTAAAGTCTGACTCCAAGCAGAAACCAACTAGTTCGGAAATGTTAGGATGGTGCAGCTTTGAGATGCCAGAAATGACTTCCGCAAAATCATGACTAGGCGAGTCCACTTTCTTCACAGCCAAAATCTAGAGAAAAATAACCAGCATTACAACCAACTTAAATAAAGGAATATTTACAAGCATGCTAATCAATTCTTATGTATTTACATATCTAATACCAAAACATCAATTTTTACAAAAGTGTCACCTCAACTATGCATAGAGATCAATGTGATTCCTCTCTTAATCATTGACGCCTTTATATCTGGTCATTCCAATTACAAAGGCATGACTACTACTTTTCTCTCCAATTAAAGCCTGAGGCGAAAGACTCATTTTTATGTTTTATAGGAAGCCATTGGTAAATTCTAGCTCGAGAGCTACTGCCATCATCAAGAACAAGCATTGGCTAATTAATATGAACCTCCTCTCTATAGGATGGGAGGTGCGGAGAGATCAAAATCTGAGTAAAGAATTAACTTTTTAATTATAACTAGTGTAGGCATCAATCCTAAAAAAAAATCATTTCAAATCTTCAGTTTTAAAGGTTCAAATTCCACTATTTTGTCCATAATGATAGTATGTAGCTCATAAAAAGTACCCAACTTATGAAATAGTTTATTTAGGGTGATTAACCGTAAACAGTTGTCTCAACCCAATCAATCCCAACATATTTGGCCAAATCCTTTGCCACATGGACATGAATTAACCATTCATCAAATTAGGTTTCGTCCAGCCTAACATTACAAATTAAGCCGAATTCAGTTCACTGCCCCTACCAATTCAAGAGATAAAATAGATATTAATTTCACCCAAAAAAAACCCTCAGAGCTTACTGGTAGATGTGACTCAAACAAGCGCCTAAACATATAATACCCAAAACTTCTATTACTTAAGCTGACTTATTTTAAATTGGTACCAAAGCAGACATCAGACTGGAGAAGAGGCCATGAAAGTTCTTTCTTAGAAGAATCAAAGTGTAACCTCTGAATTTACCCGCTTCCTCCAATGTTGGTTTGGGCAGGGCCAACAAAAGCATACATTCTTTTTTACATATACTCCCAACAATTTTTTCCTCATACATTCTTTTTTACATATACTCCCAACAATTTTAAGTACCCTCAAAAACATATCGAATTTTGTTAAAAAAATTCCAACAACACCCGGTACACGTGCCAACAAAAGCGGGGAGAGGAGGGGAGGGGGCGGCCAAAGCATAAATTGGTACCAAAGCATACATTCTTCTTTTTTACATATAATCCCAACAATTTTAAGTACCCTCAAAAGCATATCGAATTTTTTTTAAAAAAATTCCAACAACTCCTGGTACACGTGCCAACAAAAGCAGGGAGAGGAGGTGAGGGGGTGGCCAATCTTTTTTGTGTTGCATTATTTATGCTTTGCAGTTTGCACAACATTAAAATTCAGTTTATCTTCGCCAAAATGGAACAGTGTTAAGACATCTCCCATTTCTCCTACTGTTTTCTATATTGTAATGCATATCCTGAGCAACTAATTGAACAACATAATTTTCTCAAAGAAATATTGGACATATCACACATGATACAGAGTTTTATACTTTATTTTTTAAATAATCACGATGATATTAGCCTTCTTAATCATAAACCGACAATCATATTTAAAAAAATAAATAAAATGTTCTCTACCCTTGTTTTTGTGATGCCAAATTCCTATGTCAATGTCTCCCATTTATAAGTGTTATTCATAGCTCAAGTTAAATCTATTCACTATAGTTGGCGCTAATATATACTCAACCTGCCAGCAGTATTTGATCAAGATGACGTATGTTAACACATGCTATAAAATTTGAGCATTAGTTTCATGCCATGCCTTGGTGAAACAACCCGTGACACTACTATGTATGCCAACATATAATAATCATCCAAATAACAGAAGGGATAGATAAAGAAAAGAAAAATAGTCCCCATTATTTGTGTTGTTTGGGAGTGGTGTACATGTGTCTTTGTTGTGGCATATGATTTGGCAATAACTCCTTTATGGATTGGTAGAAAGAAGAGTACAAACAAAACATATTGCAAAGTCATTTAGCCCACATCGTCTCATTAGAAAAACTCGAGAGTCCTTTAAGAAAAAGAAAGACAATGAAGTGATAGGGGCAGGTTTTACTTGTCATCCTTTATTTCATTGAGCGATGGATAAAAGTTATAAGACAGCATTTAAGGAAAGTTGCACTTGCTAAAACATAGTTTAAGAGCACAAACCAAACATATTTTTAAAAACAAAATTAAAAATTGATTCCAATCCACCACTTAGTTTAAATTATTTTAAATGATTTATGCATTATACCTGCAATAGATTATCTATCACAACTTCATACACTTGGTAATTTTTTATAAAACTAGTATTTATTTTATTTGCACGTGGTTTTCTTTCAGAATGAATGTTAATAACACCTACTCATATACGGGCCTTTTGAGGTTTCATAGTTCCCTACATTTATATCTACAGGCAGAGTTCAATATTATTACTGCAAAGCCAATTTGCTCTTCCACCAATTATAACGCTATATCAATTGTCACTAATAGCTGATTCTTAGGTGATTCAAGATGAGTTGTAACATAAATTCCTTACTGTCTAGAAGAGTAGCTTCAACATAACTATCCGAAGTAGAGTTCTTAGTACCCTTGGGAGTTGATGATGTCAGTATCATAAGGATTTACGATTGAGAAAGATAATGTGTAATTGATTATATTTTTTTGCATTATTCAACGACTTGTTATAAGAGAAATAGTTAGGCCACTGTTTTCCTTTATATTTTTATTTTTCTTGGAATTCCCATAGCTATAAATAGGATATTTAAGATTAGGATAGATGATGACATAATTGAATGCAAATTTGGATTTGTCAACTCTCTTGGCCCATCGCTCCCTATCTCAAGCAAGAGTCATCTTTTAAAATTCCTTCTCTTCTTCTCTTTGTCACTCAGGTTATCCTTTTAGTACAGATTCTATGCTTAATCTCCCACTATATAGCCCTGTATCACTATGGTAGCTCAGCAGAGGTATGAGAAAATAAAAGTGCCAGTTAAATAGAAGTAGTGCTTAAAGTAATTTTATGCTTTGCTGATAAAATCATGAAAACATACTAACCAAATTTGATGTAATTTTTCCAAAATTTTCTAGTAATAGAATAGCTGTACAAGAGAAAAAAACAAACGAACGAACAAAGAACTTATTGCGTGAACTTATGAACGAAATAAGAATGAAAAACATGAGATCAAAAACCTAAACATAAAAAAATAACAAATGCAAGTTTTCTGACAATGCAAAAGAACTAAAAAAAAGAACGATAAAGATGAACTATAGTAAACTTAACTAATTAGTTCAGTTACTGTAAACTCTGCCACATGACAAATAATAAGCGATAATAAGCGCATTCTTGAAAACACCTGAATATAAAAATTATAGAGAGCACCAAATCTATCAATGTTCATGAAAAAGAAGCCATATTATGGCAGTAAGGTGGAAATGTGTGTCTATCGTGATCGACACAAAGATTTTATACCAATCTATAATATATTTATGAAGAAACCATACCATTGAAAAGAAAAAATATTCATAAAATTAGCTGGCAACAAAACTTTTAACATGAGAGAAATTTTCGGTTATTTAACATTAATAAAAATAAAAAAGTTTACAGTTACCAAAAAAAGGTAACAATTAAAAGCCTTACCCTTCCATCGACACATTTGGCCTTGTATACACATCCAAGGGACCCCTTTCCAACAAGACGACTAGCACTAAATCCTCCTGTGGCTGCTTGCAAATCTACCAGTAACATTGTGCTAGCATTAATCGGCTCCGTGTTTCGTTTGTAATTAAATTTAACTTTGAAATCATTTTCACTGACTGAACTGCTCCTCCCAGATGTGTGAGGCTTGGAATTAAATTTAATTTTAAACTCATTTTCACCGACAGAGCTGCTCCGATCAGAAGGTGAAGGCTTCACACCCAAAGATGAAGATCTTGGTAAGATATCAGCTGCTGCTGAGGATCCCATGAACTTGAAACCTGCCAAAATATGATATAAGCATCAGAATCTTATAGGACTAAGTGGTAAAGAGACAAAGCAAAACTTATTCTACGCTTCTCATCTGCAACTTAATGTGAACTTTACCAAATGATGAAAGGCCATGGTCAAGTAAGATTAACTCAAACTTTCACTATAAGCTATTTTTGGCTTTCAGAGAAACTTACATTCATAACAAGCAACAATTTGTGCTCTTGATGTCCTAAATTTGGGGCTCTGATTTATAGAGCGCCTCATCATCATGCAAGCTAGTCACAATAATGGTTCCCAAATTACCTCGATCTGGTTTCAGCATGTACCAGAACTGTTTACTAGGACTATATTGACAAATATTCTGAGGCAAAACATCATGCATCAATGTTACAAAAAAGCATCTAATTCTCCGTGAATGTAATGGGTGGGAGATTAAAAAGTCTTCGTAATTCATTGTAGTTTGTACTTAAGATCATAAGCTGAATGTATTACGATTTAACAGGCAAGTTATGATTCATTAAAAGAATTGCATTTCTTTAAATAGTTTCCATTACGATTATTAGGGGAAATGTGGTAAGATAACCTTCTCTAATTTACTAGTCTCTTACCCTCTGCCAACTAATTTTAAAAGTTGTTGTTGCAAGCACTGAATTTTTCCTTTTTTTTCTCCCGCTATAACACAAATTAATTTCTTTCCTTTTGCGTACTGCCTTTCCGATTCAGACTCTCGCAATCCTTTCCTTTTTCTTCTTCCCGCCGTCCCCTACCTACTTCCTGAATCGACCGACGCACCGCCTCCCTACTCTATATAAGATCGGGTCAATGCATCGCAACACCATGCCGCACCCTACTCGTTGTCGAAGCCCTCCCTCACCAACTTCTGTAGGCACTGAATCTCTGTCGATCTCTCTCCTAGACCTCCCTCTCTCACAATTTCGCCCGAAACAATCGGCTTTGTGACCGAACCATTCCGGAGCTGTCGAGATTAGAGCTTGTGGGAAGGCAATAGCGGGATTGTGGCATGCAAAGACCATGAAACCTCATCTTCCTGCTCCTTCTATCCGCTGCTACCCAAAACCATTGAGGAAAGAAACCCACTTCTTTCTCCCACTCTGTCCCAGCCACCTTCGCATGCAGTTTCTCTAAATCCTGCAAATCCTAAATTTAAGGGAAATGTAGGAAAGATGGGATTTAAGAACCTGCCTAATTCAAACATGTCATTTTTGTTGTTTGTTAGGTTTAGGTGTTAAGTATGTAAATCCCCAAAAAATTTATTCATAAATTTTAATTACTTACCTATCAAAATCAAACAAAAAATAAAATATTATTTTAATTACACTAGTTAAAGTTAACCTTAATGAAGTTCATATATATTTCATTTAAAAATATTATAGTAATGATTTAATATAATAAAAGTTAGGTTGCACCTAATTTAATGAATGCAAATTTTTAATTGCATAATGGCTTATATTTTATTTTCTAAATGTAGTAAGATGGCTAGTTGAACCGTTGAATTCGTAGAAGGATTGTGTTTGTCGTCTCGGGGTAAATAACAGTTTTTTATTAGAGGATAAATGTACACATCCTAGTAAGAAGCGTTAATCCTTATTATTTGTAGTAGATTCATAGTTATTTCATAAGATTGACAGTCATGCCCTTGCCCCTTCAATTTAAATATTGCACTTGTTATAGGCTTCAGTTATTGCTCATGATGGAAGCACTAATAATCTTACTCTATTGCTATAAAACTTTCGCATATGCGAATAAATATTACAGTTATAACATTTTCCTTTCATGCATTAAAATGAAATTTCATGTGAACTCAAGTCATTTCACAAGCTTGCGTGAAATAGCATATTTCATACATATTATACCTGTGAAAATTTTGATATGCTTGTGTGAAGGCATGTAAGTCGGTGGAACCCTTTTGGATATTGGTTAGTTGAGTTGAAGGGCCCACAGAGTGACGAATCTACAAGAAATCATCGAGTTTTTTTGGGTTGATAATGACATTTATGGTGTCAAGGTGTTTGTTAAAACCAACTATATAAATATTAAATATAAAACTAAATAATAAGAAACTTCATTGGAAACGATCCCATGTTTTATTATGATGCACATAGTAATCGTCTTTATTTGTTGCTCATATTGCATGTTCTATTTCTTTTATTGTTTATGCTTTAGTAATTTATTTGCAATTGACCGAGTTTTGTTTTTCACTCGTTCCTTGATATTTTGCATAACAGATTATATTCAGCAGCTAGCAGAATTGTATCCATCGGAGCAGGTTTTTCAGTTTTTAGATTTTATGCCTTAGTATTTTACTCAGAATTTGCTTTAGTTGTATCGATGGGCTATTTATTTTATGTCTTGAGTCTAAATAGTCGTTTCTTGTTATCATTTCAGTTTTAATTCAGTCATTTTTCATCTTTCCTTTCAGTTGTATCGGTGGGTTATTTATTTCAGTTGTATCGTTTCTTGTTATCACATTTAATTGTTTATTTGCATGCAAATGTTTCTTTAAGAATACAGAACAAGTTTAAATCATTTCATCATGCACTGCATTGTCAGGGTATACCGCATTCTGACTGTATACCGCCTTCTGACTCGAGATGTGAATTGCATCCACGAATTATCGTTTATCATGATCACAATAATAGGTTCATTACAATGGGGCTCTTGTTGCCACTGGAAGTGGGCCTTAATTACCATCCATGTCATTATCCCACTAATCCGCCTCTTTTTCCTTGCAAAGACTCCACCTCATCATTCTCCATTCATCATTAACGAATCTTCTTCTATCTTCTACTATCTTGGATTCTATGAGTTGTCTCTCCCATCTCTTCCCACTCACATCCAAAAATATTTCCAAATCACTATCAAACCTTGCAGATCTCCTCCACCCCATATCTCCTCTTCTAGTTTGTGCATGACTAACACTGTGTCGGTGTCGGATCCATATCCACTCATAAATCCATCTCCATTCCACATTGCCACATTTCACACAATAAAATATAATAATAATAATAAATTTTAGTTCTTGCTCAATCAATGTCACTAGAGTTCAATCTCACTTCTCCAAGCCTCTGGTGATGCTTCATTGAGATTTCCCAGAACATGTGATTCATTGAGTTTATTATTATGTAATAGGTAGTTTTTGAGTCTCTAGGAGTCATCTATATCTATAAATCGTCTCAGTTGGAAGTATTAAAGTATGATGAATTAAATGAGATAAACCTCCTCTCTAAATTTCTAATTCATTTATTTCCCCAATCCAATTTTTGGAGTTTTAAACATCATTGAATTATCATTTATCTTGACCCAAGTAATGAGTTCATAACATAGAGTTGAATATTACTTTTGGCTTCTTTGTGACAAGATTCTAAAACCTTATTTTAGCCTTTATGTAGCAGGTCTATCATGTTGGTAAATATACAAAACTTATCAGCAATTAAAGCTAAATCATGTGCACCGGAAAAGTGCAAACAGGAAGCAATTCATAGAATTGTGTTATCTCGAGAGACTTATGCAGAGCTTGTGTTAGATGTTTCTGGGTGCAAATGTTCGACTATGTGTCTCATATACAAGAGCATTGAACATCTATGGCCAGTTCAAGCATATCCTTCTAATAATAATACCAATTATGATGTCTATATAAATCTTTAAGTGGTATAGTCATATTTCTGAAGCTTGAATGGTGGAGTTATCATTTCTAGCGTACCAAAATGGAAAAAAAAAAGTAATTGTACAAATTATGGGAGAAATGGGAAAATGGGAAACAAAAATATAATTTAAGTTTTTAGTACAATTTTAATATTATAGGTTTCTACTATACTTTATTAAGTAATGAATGTAATGCTTTGTGAGACCCCATCTTTTTTAAAAAAATGTGATTGCTTCATGCTCAAATCCTATTGGAGAGTGAAAATAAAAAAAATTTATAACTCAATTGTATTCTGTTATTAGTTGTGCTTAAATAGGTGAACAAATAATTATCTAAGATAAAAACAAATATAGAAACCAATCTTTAATTCTAGAATTTGATATTAACTACACATCAAAAATAGTAATCATTCATAAATAATCGAATAGATGAAAATGGAACTTCATTGTCCACCGCTTATTATTGTTGCAACTAGAAAGGTGCTACCCACAATTAATTGACTTGTAGATGGCAAGCTGTTCGCAACATATTCAAGATTACTTCAATACTTCCCTTCAAGCAAGGCTATATCTTGACCATGCTCAATCAGTCGAGTTTGGGATATAATTAGTTAGACTATTCCATTTTTATTTTTATTTAACTTTTTTAGATAAAATGTTGGCTTATTTCAATGTAATTAGTTCTATGATATTTGGCAGAACTATTTGCAACACTAAAGCAATATATTTGGCAAAATAAAATTCAGGAGATATTTTCACTTTGTAAGTTAGTTCTTCTAGCAATCTTTATAACTAAATTCATTTATAAATACTGTGCATCTGCTTGTGTACAGCCTTCTTATCATTCCTTCATGAGACCAAAAAGTATTTTTTTTAATCCATGAAAAGGTGAAGAAGGAAATTGCCATTCTAGCAAGGTTTCAATATGTTTAACATACAAATAAGGTGATAAGGGAGTCTGTAGCTTTGGTACAACTTTAGAAGATTGAATAAGAGACACTAAAAAATGCACTGTTCATGGGTTTTTTATGTCAAGAATATGATGGATGAACAATAACTTTCAAACTTCAAGTTCTTATTCTTGAAATTCTACCCCCAAAATTTTTAGAGTTTGTAGTAATGCTAGTATTCAAAAAGGTTATGATCGCCGAGCTGTAAACATTTCTAGTGCAAGATAATATCATTTGTTACATTTTTAATCTGGAAAGTATCAAATAAAGATATTCTTGAGAGACTTGGGGTTTAATTTGCTTTTATGGTGAGGATAAGTGTTAATGAAAAGTAAAAATCCAAAAAAGAATTGATGACAATGAACGAAAGGATTTTGGTGATACAGAATAATTAGAGAAATGATTGGACTAGGACTTTAAAACAAGTACTCTTGAGAGCATTTTCTAACAAACTCTATGAGATGTATATTATTTATTTTTAGCAACTCCATTTTGTAATGGTGTTGACATAGGAACATTGTTAGATTATCAATTTATCACTTAATGTAGAGATAATTTTCTGAAGTCATTTTTAAAAGTTCTTTAGTATTGTCAGTTTTTAGGATTTATAATCAGATGAATTATGATGCTGATTACTCAAAAATTTATTCCATTTCAATTTTTCCGTTTGGTAAAAAATCAAGTGAGATGGTCTATTGCCGATGAAAGAAATAAACTATTGAGCTATAGAAATGTTTTGGACTCAAGATACAACTCACACATCACCATGGACTAAAAAAAGATTGAGAAGGTTTGTATGTTTGATTGTGCTAAGAACTACGACTGTGTCTAGTAGCTAAAAGATAAATTTAAAATTGATGGTTCTTTAATTTTTTTATGGTGAGAAAAAAGGAAATATGTTTTCATTATAAATTAAGTTTAGGTATCCTAAATGAATGATACTACCAAAATCAAATATTACTATCATTATTTGAAATATATTTAAAACTTCAAAAGTGGGTTTTGATATATACACAACCTGTTGTTTGACCACATGCACTATCAACCATCCTCCCTCAGTTCAAATCTAGAATGTGGAAAATACAAATAATAAATTAACAACACAATTATTTCTCAAGTTTCTTGATTAATAGTTAAGTTATACTTTTAGATTGACACAAAAAGCACAAACTCAGATGCAAGTCTTCTAAAGAAATTAAATATAATATGCCCCGGCTACTTTTGAGAGTGACAATTTTGCAATCTAGACTAATAATCTTCACGTCATAGGCTATAATTATTGAAAATATTTTTTATCTCATATCATACAATATAATGCTCTTGAGTCGATTGTCCAAGTAATAGATTTATTCTTATTTATGATGAGAGAATTTGAGAATTTAACATTTTTATCCATCAAGCTTATTATGATGTTCCAAAAGAAGTTTTTGCTGGGAGAATAATTGGCTGAATTCAATTTGAAATGAAAATGGATGAATCAAGAAGGAGATGGTTGCTTTAATTCATCTTTGTTACTGATTCACTTTAAAATTTTACAGCCCAATAGTTCGTCATGGATTTTCTAATAGAGCATGTTATCATGGATTTTTCATATTTTGGATCCAAATTTTCTATTTTAAGGTTGATTTCCAAAGTTGAAATTTTTGGCTCCTTGAGCATTGGCATATTCATGGCAGCTGCTATTTTAAAAAGATTATTCGTGTATGTTTTCATCACTCTTGTAGGAAGAAGATTAGCTTTTGGCGTTGTAGACTGATCATCGCCAGGTAAGAGAGACTCCATCTTAAAGGACCAATCAACCATACAAAGAGTGGATCCTTAATATCTATGATGTTATCTTACAAATTAGAATGAGAAGGAGGAATGTAGAAAATATAGGACTCTATGATTAAATTTTGTTATATTGTTCAGTGTTTAAAGAACAAAAGAATAAAAAGATGTATACAACTAGGTGAAGAAAAAACTAGGAAAGAAAAATAAATTTGGAAACAATCTTCAATTATGGAATCGAAAATTAACTGGACATTAGAAATATTAAGTTGTTGCGTACAAATTATTAGATTAATATAGAAGGAAGGTAACCATCCACAGATTATTAGTTGTTGTATTATTAGAATGCTACATATAGGAGCGCCATGGATCCCAGTATTTCAACACTACCCATCAAACTAACCTGTATTTCAACATATTTATAATTACCTCAAATAAAACTTCACTTGATAATTTAATGTTCTCTTACTGGAAATTTTGGTCAACGAAGAACTCATCTGGCTGCTAAAACAATTGAAACAATTATAGAAGCTTAGTAATTCACAGTTCCTTAGCTTTGTTAATAAAATTTGTTTCCAGCAAGAATCCAGTAAAAGAAGTTATCAAATTTAAAAAAGATATATATTGCTAAACACAGCAAAAGAGTACATCAAGCAGTATTTGGACTGTCCCACGCCCAAGTCTATGCTTTTATTAAAGGTAAATCTAGTGAACCAAAATGCATCATTGATATCCAAAATCTAAAATTTAGAATGGATCCTTAATATCTATGACTGTATTAGGAATCTAAAATCTAAATGAAATTTATCATAAAAATTTGGATTAACGTGAAGCACCTCATACACGTCTGTGAACTAAATGTAATTTATCATAAAATTTTTTACACCATAAATGTGATATGTAGCAAAATTTGATTTGATTGTTTATGATAGGTATCCCAAGTTATGGCGCCATAAAAGTGTACAACTGCAATGATTAATATAATCAAGTTTTTATCAAATCATTGGTTAAAATAATATTATTTCTCAAATATAAATTAGATTCATATAATAAATATAAAATTAAATATTATATTATGAAATTTTTGTTTAACTCTATTCATTTATTACTAATATTTTCACTTTTCTCACACTGCTAATCGCACATCGTTAACAGCTAGTACCAACTTACAGTTCCCTAACCAAAAACATCACTATTCAGCTTAGAGCAAACTTTCAAATGCACTAGGTGATACCTATTAGACCATATAACTTAAAATTTGAAATAAGCTTCCGAAAGTAGTTAAGAATCTTTTATCTAATTCTTCCTAAGATAAAATGTTGAATTTCCATTAGACAAACGAATTCTATAAGAAATAGGAGCATTTACATGCAGACCACATAATTCATATTTACTTGCATATCTAACACCAGAAATTTAATATTTACATGCATATCACTCAAATCTTTAACATCAGAAAACACTATCACCTACATTTAAAAATCTTTTCATGCATAGGTTTATCATACCAAAGCCTTACAAATGTAAATATGAAAGTCTGGGTGTTTGATATGTATATCTATAAGAATTGTGTGGTATGTATATAAATTTCCCTAAGAAATATTACTTATAGTTCAGGCCTGACATTATAACTGACGCAGCAATCAAGATATGAATGTCAGCATAAAACCTCCATCCATTACAGCAAAAGAAAGATAGATAAAACCATCAGATGAGAATCAGAGATGATTTGATGAATTCTACTACAATGAGAAATACCTTGGGATCATAAAAAAACAGTAGATAAACAAAATTACAATGGTGTAGGAATGAAGCAGGTGAGAATCATAACTGAAGCAAAAGTTTCAAGTATGGACCTAAAATATAAAAAAATAATTTAAAAATACGAGCCTGCGAAGGAAGTACCTTTATCATGGCTAACCAAAGGTGCAAATGACCTTCTCTGACTATCTGACTCGTCAATGTAGTGCAACAAAGTTGCAGACTTCTTCTTAATTAGGGTCAATATAAACAAAATGATAAGAAGTACAGCTACTATTGCTCCACCAATGGCTAAGCCCTTTATAACTGATGATTTTTCCCGCAAGGCACCATATCGGTCATCATTATCATTGTTGTAAATATGATAATGTGGGGGTGCTCGTGTAGATGACCAAGAATTTCCACCAGCTCTTTTGAGGGATGGTGAATAGCCAGAGCAATTTGTCAATGTCATGTTAACTGACTACACCATCAATAAACTGTAGGGAGATTTACATCCACACAATTCTTATGTAATTACATATCTAACACCCAAAGTTTGACATTTGCATTTATAAAACCTTGATTTCATAATTGTATGCATGAAAAGGTGTCTTTCACTTTTACAAAGATAGTGATGATGGTATTTTTTATGTAATATTAACGATATGAGTTGTATGCATGAAAATATGAATGTTTAGGAGTTAGACATGTAAATAAATAAGAATTACGTGGTACGTATGTAAATGCCCTTAAACTGAAAAGAGAAAGCATTTATGCATCATTTTAGGATGTACTTACTCGAGATTGTCAATCTTTTTAAATCCATCTGGAATCCAGCCAGTGAACTGGTTGTTCTGAATATTCCTGGACCACCATGCAAACCATTTAGAAAATAGATTAACGCTATACATTAAAATATATTGAGTAAACCAAGTAAACATATATCGCGCTCCAAATTTATAATGTTATTCCATCATAAAGTTTCTCAGGTCTTAGCATTCCTCGTCAAGTTGAAGAATAAATATAAGGAAGCCCCATCATGCTACACAACCCCAAGACATCCAAAGAACCTAAAACCTTTGTAAAAATCAGTTAACTTATTCAAAACTAGAGACATGAGGTGATACCAGAGGAAGCCCAAACCAACATGAAAAACATAATTATTATTATTGAATTCAAAAGGATACAAACGAGACTCTTGCAAATATGAAAAAAACGACAACAAACATACAGACAAAAATGACAAGACGACACTGCAAAAATTTATAATAGAAAGCAACACAAAGTACATAAACGGCAATCTAGAAAACGGGGCAAGGGTGGTGGTCGGAAAAGGGCTAGCGACCATTGGAGAGTAGCAGGAGGGAGTTGTGGTGGCCTGGAGCAGCAGCAGACCAGTGGCGGCATCTAGAAGGCATGTCTAGACAGCAACAGGGACAGGCGTCGGGGGTTGGACAACAGTTGTGACAGGCGTCGGTGGCTGGCCAGCAGCAGGGACAGGCCCGTGATGGGTTGTCAACAGCAAGGGTTGGTGGGGGAGGGTTTTGGCGGACTGTCAAAGGGTGTAGCGACAGCTGCAGAAAACACCTAACAACAGCGAGAAAAGTGTTCACGGGGGTGGCCGCAACAAGACAGCGGCTTAGAGATGTTAAACCGTAATATGAAAGGTGTCGGCGGGGCAGAGGGCAGCAAGATTGCTGCTGGAATGAAGAGGGAGGGCCTAGAAGGCAGCAGGAAGAAGACCGGCGGGCAAAGTCACTCTGCTAGAATAGTGGTCTGTGAAAGGATAAATGTCTAGTCGGGGTCGAGCTATAGCTGGAGCGCCATTAGAGACGGTCATCACCTCAGACGAGTTACAACCGGAGCACAATCTCGTCGTCGAGTACAGTTCCCGAGCGGAAGAACGCCTCAGACAGCACTAAAAAATCTGGACTCATCAAAATCTGTCGTGAACATAGCAAACAATGTGTATAAATAAGAGGGGGTTAGTAGGTAGATTAGATAAGTATAAGAATAGGCAATAAATAAAAGAGGGGTGATGGGAAGGAAAGAATTTGAAATTGGGATAGAAGTGGAAGGGTGTAGATAAGATAGGAAATCAAAATAGGCAAGAAGGACCTACGGCTACAATTAAC